CGGGCCAGGCGTCCACGCAAGGTGCCGGGCGTCCACGGGCCAGGCGTCCACGCGAGGTGCCGGCACACAGGCAGAAACACACTCTCAAACTCTGCAGTTCACCCTCCATGTGCCCAGGGAGCAGGAAGGAACACACTGAAAATGTGTCGAACCGTGATCCCCGAAGGACGTGTGGAGTCCTGACCCCGGGACCTGTGTGTGCGGCCTTAGCTGGAGCCAGGGGCCTGGCAGATGCAACCAGCCTAGGACAAGGCCATGCTGGAGGGGTGGGCCCGAGATCCAGGGACTGGGTTCACCAGGAGAGGGGTTTGGAGAAACCAGACACCGAGGGAAGACGGCCATGAGATGGGGAGGTGGAGCGAGAAGGCGCCCACGGAGGAGAGGGACCTGCAGCCGAGCAAGTGTGTGGCCCGTGCGGAGAACAAGCGCGTGTTTGGCGCCACAACGCAGACCATGTGGCTGAAGATGGTGTGATGAGTTCTTTTCCTTTTTTCGGGGGGTGGGGGGTGGAGGAAGGGAGGGAGAGAGAGAGAAACACTGATCGGTTGCCTCTCATACACACCCAGTTCTTTTTCTGCCTTCACACGGAGACAGGTCGGCGGTGGGGAGTCATGTTGGACTTGACAGTTGGAGAAGAAAGCAAAGCTTGGCTGGGTTTGGGGAGAATAGAGTTCAGACTACGAAGTGGATGCCGGGCTGCGGGCTGGATCCCCAGTAGGGGGCGTACAGGAGGCAGCAGATCGGTGATTCTCTCTCACTGATGTTTCTCTCTCCCCCTCTCTCTTCCTCTCTGAAATCAATGGCTGCGGAGATGGCAGTGGGCAGTCACAAAAAGACGGCTAGCAGCTCCGTGATGACAGCACCACCAGCCTGCATGGCGTGCGTAGGCACCTGACTTGTGCCAGCTCGGTGCCCCGCCCCCTCGCTCCGACGCCCTGTGCAGCCTCACTCACCACGGTGCTGGCCATGCTTCCCTTCGTCCAGGCTCTCCCTTTCCCGTGCCCGCCTGTTGGCCCCCGTTCCTGCTCCAGGACCTGTCCCGGCCCAGCCCACTCCACGGCCAGTCTTCTAGGTCCCTCTTCTCTGAGGCGCCTTCCCTCCTCCAGCCCCTGAACTGGAACAGCATGTCCCATGCATCCGCCAACGTGGCAGGGCCCGGAGCAGCTGAGCGGCTGAGGTGCGGGCTGAGCACGCTGGGAAGAAGTGGCTGCAGCCGCTGCCCGTTCCCTGGGGCTGCCCCACAATGCGCCACAACAGGGCGACTTCAACAGCACACTGTGCCCGCCCCGTGCTGGAGCTGCACGTCAGAAACCGAGCGTCTGCAGGGCCACAACCCTCTGAACTCTAACGAGGCCCCTGCCCCTTCCGGCGGCTGGTGGCGGCCGCGGTCCTGGCACCCGTTCCCTGACCCACTCACTCCAGCAGGTCCCCAATCCAGCCTCACGGCTTCACTGATTCAGGACACATGGAGGTGGTTCTGACTCGAAGCAGATCCACCCTCCATGGGACCACGCCTCCGCTGAGGCTCACTTTCCCTCCACATGCCTGGGGTCTGATGTCATGGAGAGAAGGGGGTGAACGCGGAGAGAAGGGGGTGAACGCAGAGAGAAGGGGTGAACGCGGGGAGAACAGGTGAACGCGGAGAGGACGGGTGAACGCGGGGAGGACGGGTGAACGCGGAGATGCCGAGGCCCCAGCTGTATCTCCAAGCAGCTGCCCTGACGTTACTGACCACGAGGCTGACATAGGTGTTTTGTGCTGTTTTCCAGGAAACACAGGATTGTCCTTTATCATGCTTGGCCTTCAGTTTCTGATCTTTCCCCCTTGGGTGAACGCAGAGAGAAGGGGTGAACGCGGGGAGAACGGGTGAACGCGGAGAGAACGGGTGAACGCGGGGAGGACGGGTGAACGCGGAGATGCCGAGGCCCCAGCTGTATCTCCAAGCAGCTGCCCTGATGTTACTGACCACGAGGCTGACATAGGTGTTTTGTGCTGTTTTCCAGGAAACACAGGATTGTCCTTTATCATGCTTGGCCTTCAGTTTCTGATCTTTCCCCCTTTCTACCTTAAACTGTGCTGAACACTCCGGGTCAGGTCAGGCGTCTTGTCCGAGGACAGCTGCCCTCCCTCCCGCCAGCCGCCCTCTGGTCCTGACGGAGCCGGAGCCTCTGCCCACGGGCAGCAGGTCTGGGGACTGAGGAGCCCCGTCCGGCCTGCAGCCTGAGTCACAGGAGGCGGGAGCCGGGTCCTGAGAGGACAGAGTCGGGGGGAGCAGGCTCCCTTCTCGGGGCGGGAGGAGGCGGGAGGAGGCGAGCACAGCGGCCCTGAGGCCGTTCTGTTTTCAGCCTAGACCAGTGATGGCGAACCTATGACACGTGTGTCAGAGACACGCAAACAACTCATTTTTTGGGTTGATTTTTCTTTGTTAAATGGCATTTAAATATACAAAATAAATATCAAAAATATAAGTCTTTGTTTTACTATGGTTGCAAATATCAAAAAGTTTCTCTATGTGACACGGCACCAGAGTTAAGTTAGGGTTTTTCAAAATGCTGACACGCCGAGCTCAAAAGGTTCGCCATCACTGGACTAGACATGAGTGGCCTTTTGCAAACAGAAGCTCAGCGAAGTGGTCTGCCCTGGGACAGTGTCCCTAACTCCCCGCTCAGGGAACCACTGCCCAGGTCACAGGTCAGCAGAGGGAGCTGCCCCTCAGGGTGCAGCACCAGGGACCCCGAGCCGCCTTGGGCTCAGGTCCAACGCTGCTCTCGCTGCCGCGAATGGACGCGGCCACCCCCTCGCAGATGCGCCAGCAGTGATGCCTCCGATCTACGTGTCACGGGACAGTGTTCATATCGGGGTCGTGTAAATTTTCAGTGAACAGCGCTTTCCGACAGGCCCCGTGAAGAAGAGCTGGAGAAACAGGCGCCCAGTGCCAGCAGCCAGGCAGCGCGTGGCTCCACGCTCCTGCAGCTCCCCAGCGGCACCAAGACGCGCCCAGCACAGGCCTGGGGGGCATCCGCTGACCAAGGCGCACCGCCCAGGTGAAGACAGAAAACAGAAAACAGCCCAACAAAGCAGAAAAAGAGGGAAAAGACAGAACACGAAATTTCAACTGTTTTTCTCTTCAAAGATTTCCCTGCAAATATATGTGCGTGGTATTAAAGACTCAGTGTGGCCCGGGCCGGTTTGCTCAGTAGATAGAGCCAGTCGGCCTGCGGACTGAAGGGACCGGGGTCGATTCCCGGTCAGGGCACAGGCCTAGGTTGCCGGCTCAGGTCCCCAGTAGGGGGCGTGCAGGAGGCAGCCGATCCATGATTCTCCCTCATCATGGATGTTCTATCTCCCTCTCCCTCTCCCTTCCTCTCTGAGATCAATGAAAATATAGTAAAAAATAAAAGACGGTGTGTGGTTAATCTAAACCTCACCAAGCCTCTGGGCAGTGTGAGGAAGCACTGCCTTCTACAGACTTCTTGGGACGGTTCTGGCGGGAGGGGGTGAAAGGTCACGGGAGAGCCTGCGCTTCACTTGGCCAGGTCCAGCCATCGGGCGTCCACACGCCCTTCCCCCTGGACCCACCCCTCCTACAACCAGGAGGCCGAGGGCGGCGTCTGTGCGTGTGGTACCTGCCGTTCCTCGTGTCGTGTTGCCGCATGTTCTTGATGAAATGGATCTTCTTAAAGTTCTTTGGTCTGGGCGAACCTGAGAGAGTTCGACATCTGAAAAACAAAGTCATTTCAAAAATACAGTCAGTGGCCCGCTGGACAGCTGAGCCACCTCCACACAAAGACAGGAAGGAAAGACCAGACAAACGGGGTGAGTCACCCCAGGATAATGAGGACAATATGGCTGGGAGCAAGGAAGCTTAAAAAAAACCCGAAGACAGACAACTTCCTTGATGATGCTGATAACAGTTTATATGAGTCTCCAAAACCCAGCTCACGAAAACCACTGTCCTCAGGTACAACAACTCCACCCACCGGTTCCAAAGACATCAGTCTTTCTTGTCATCTTAAAAAAGAAACCCTCTTGTGTCAACGCAGGTAACGGAAACAGAAAACTGTAAATTAAAGGGTTCGGAGGGGAAACAACACGGGAAAAGTCCGTGTGAAACAACCCTGAGCCACCTTTCTTGTCAGCAGCCCTCTGGCCTGAGCTGAGCTGCTGCGGTTCTCACGTGGCTTCACTCGAATGAGGATCAGCCTCGGCGAGGGGGCGGCTTCTTCTCCTTTTTGTTTTTAAGATAAATTTTAAATAAATACTTGTTGAACAGAACGACTTGGATTGAAATTATTTTTCCCTGGAATGTACGACATGGGCTTCCATGGGCTGAAAGCCCTTACTTGTGTGTGTGTTTCCACAGTTACCGGTGCATTCCAAGCTCCACAGCTGCAACAACACCAAGGAAAGCAAAACACCCCACACACGAGTCTTTTCTTGGAAAAGGGAGCTGACTGGTCTGTTTTGGTTTCTGCTGCCAAATGTTGTTGTTCACTTAGACCTTTCTGACCCCAGGGCTGATTCTGCCATTGGGAGTGGGGACCCCAGAAGTAAGCCTCCGAGAGGAAGTCCCAGGAGCTGTGCCCACTGCCGAAGCCACAGCGAGGTCCGGGCTGGGTCCCCAACCTCAGTCAGGTCTGAGCTTTGAGGCTTCAGGGGCAAGAGTACCAAGGTAACTAACAAGCAGGTGGGTGTGGGCAGGCGGGCTCAGGACCCGGGGGTGGGGGTGGGGGCCGGGTCACAGACCCACAGAGCAGCCCAACCTCTAACATCCCCCAAGGGCCAAGCTCAGGGGAAATCAGTCCAGACCTCAGGGTGTCCATCCCCCAAGCCCCTTCCCCACCTCTAGGAAGGGCCAGTCTTTCTAGAAGCCTTTCACCAAAGGGCACTGACATTTATTTATTTTCTAAGAAACAGCCCCTTACAATGTGACTTAGCTTGGGAACAATCACAGCGAAGCCGTGAGCGCCGACGAAGCAAAGGCGTGACACCAGGTACGTGGTGCCTCTCGAGGAAAAGGGGGTTCCCTGGCCTGGGGTCTAGTCAGGTCACTGCATCCGAGCAGGGTCCGCAGCCCCGACCCGCACACTCGTCCCTTCCCTGGCGCTGCTGTGAGGATTCCCGCGATGGCCTGTACAGAGCTCCGCCATCTGTAGGTGGCGCAGGATGCAGTCACATGGAGACATGCACAGCCGTGCACTTGCACGTGGATGCAAATATGCACACACGTCTCAGGTGTCGTGGTTCTTAAGACCAGTGGCCTCAAATGGCGCACACTCGGTGACCACCTGCCCCCTATGTTGTTGAAAGTGCCGTCCTTGTTAAGGGTCCTGAGTTCTTGGTTTTAAATAGATTCTTTCAAAGACCTGCACTGCCTGCTGGAGGGCCTTCAGCAGAGCTTCCTGTGGACTTCGGGGGGGAAGCACCCCAAACCCCACTCCCCCGCAGGCTCTAACCCAGGTTCAGTCTCCTGGGGGCTCCTCCCGCCTTCTCGGGCAGCTCTGTGGGGCAGGCCCAGGACCCCCGGGCCTCACTTCTACCCCCAGAAACCAATCCTGGAGTCTGCAAGTCACTCAAGGTCCCCACTGTCGCTCTCACACACGGCAGAGGACTCTCGAAGCTCAGTCCCTGGCGAGGGGCCTCTGAGAGTGCAAGGACGCTCCCAGGGGGTTCTGCACAGGCCGAGGGGTCAGTTGTGCCTCACACCCTCCCCCGCCTTCCCCACTGGAGAGCTTCCTCGGCCAGCCAGTCCAGGACAGTGGCCACAGCAAAGTGAGCAGGGCTGTGAGCACCTTCCCATCCTGCCCCAGGGGCCGGAAGCCCGACTCAATCTCAGGCCCGAGGAGGAACACCGGCTGCTCCCTGCCTCTGGGCCTGCAGAGAGGGCTGCAGGTCGGGGGACACAGCCCCACAGGCCTCTGCAGGAACTGGGAGTCATCAGAGGCTGTCAGCACCAGCAGGGGAAGGAGGAGGTGCAGCAATCGCTGAATAGGGCACCAGCCAGCCCCCACCGACCCAGACAGGCTGGAAACTGGGGCGGCAGCGGCTGCCACGTGTGTGCAGGTAAACGAGGTTTTTCTGGACACCTAGGGAGTCCTGGGTTCTTATTTCTAGGACACTCGGTAACCACCAGGCCAGAGGAAACCCCCTCCTTGTAAATGCTCAATTCTTGGAAACTTACTAACACACTGGGATGCACAAGAGAAAAGCAAGACTTTCAAAAGGAGAACGTAACAAAGGTGCTTTATGGGCTCTCAGCGCCGATCCTAGCTGCCTGGGCTCCCTTTCAAGGAGCAGTGTGTTGTCCTGGTCTTTTAAGCATTCAACTCCACCCCCAGGGAGCCTGAGGACACCCTAGGGAATCGTGGCGTTAGCAACCATTGCCAAGGAAACCGGAAGACTGAGCACGTGTTGTGGCAGGGTGAGCAAAGAATGAATTAATTTCGAAACCGCCTGAATTAACATGTAAATATCCATTTTAAAACATACACTTTAAGTGACGCCAAATTAAATTAGGGTAGGATTAAATTAAAAACTAATTTAATGAAAGATTAGCTCTTTCTTGTTAGCACTGATTATAGGACACACGTAATTATGCAAAAGGTTTTTAATAGATGCCTTGGAGCCACTTGTTCAATGTGCTGAGTTTAAAAGCAAGTTGGGCATTAGCATTCCACCCCCAGTTCCCCAAAAACTTCAGTGCCGTTAATGATACATTCATTTCACAGAACCCGGGAGCTGGGAAGGACCTCAGCGATCAGCCCCTTGTCCTTCCCGCGTTACAGATGGGAAGACTGAGGCCCAAGCGAAGCTAAGGGAACTTCCAAGGCCATGTGACTGGTTTATAGAAGAATCGGGTCAAGCCCTCAAATCCCCTGACTCCTAACCTAAGGTCCCTCCTGCTATGCCGTGCTGATGTTATTTCCTAGGAACAAGTATATTTCTAAGAAAAAAAAATTTTTTAAAAATATATTTTATTGATTTTTTACAGAGAAGAAGGGAGAAGGATAGAGAGTTAGAAACATCGATGAGAGAGAAACATCGATCAGCTGCCTCCTGCACACCTCCCACTGGGGATGTGCCCGCGACCAAGGTACATGCCCTTGACCGGAATCGAACCTGGGACCCTTCAGTCCGCAGGCCGACGCTCTATCCACTGAGCCAAACCGGTCAGGGCAAAAAAATTTTTAATTAAGAAAGAAGTCCAGGGGAAAATGAAGGCTTCTTAAACTGCCTCGATTCCCTTATTTCTGACTGATGGTTAAATGTTGGATTTGAACAAGATCTGCTGGGAATTCAGCAGTTTCTGGAAGAGCTGAGGGAGACACCCGGTCTCACTCTGCCTGTGCTGCCACCAGGACACAAGGGCAGAGCAGGCTCAGCCTGGGCCAATTCTGAGAGGGGCAGGGTGATGGGCGTGTGACCAGGAGCGCGTGCCCAGCGCCTCCTCGGCCCCTTCACCACCTGAGCCCCTAAAGGGGAGCGACGTCTTCCCACCGGGCCCCTTGCGCACTGGTTTCCCATGTGTGGCACCTGCTCGCAGCACCGCCCCCCCTCGCTGATCACCTGGGCCAGCGCCTGCCCCCACGGACTTTAGTGCCGCTTCTGCAGCTCTCCCTCCAGGAAGCAGCCCTTCTCCCAACACTGACAGCAGCCAGGACAGAAGGACACACGCACCACGCCTCGTCGTCCCGCAGCGACACGCACTCACCGGGGACGGGCCCCGAGTCACAACCGTTTTCAAAAGCGGAAACTGAACCGTCAGCCCCGCTGTCTCTTTGGAATAAAGTCAATGATGGGACTCAGGGCATCTGACACGTTCGACCCGATGCCGGCCTGTCCATGCTCCACCCTCCACCCGGTGGTCTGTGCACAAGACCCAGGACCTGGGGGGAGGCTCTGGGCCCGGAAGGAGCCGGCTCCAGGGTGAGCTGCCTCCCTCCACATGAGCATCTCCAAGGCCCAAAGGGAAGGGCCCGGGACGCCCCAATCCTGACCCACGGCCCGACCCACGGGTGCAGGTGTGGGTTCCGGGAGGAGCTGGTGCGAGCTGAGGGCACACCCTCCGCAGGCTCCCCTGCCCCTGCCACGTGTGCCCTGAGTGCCTGTGGGCCTTGCAGAGGGACGCATGGCGCCTGGGGGTGGCCAGTGGCGACAGGAGCCAGGAGGAGACAGGCGGGCTGGGGGGCAGCCAGTGCTGCCTCCTCCAGGAGGCCTGGCTGGCCCGCGGTGCGGACGGGGCGGCAGAGGGGGTTAGAGGAGGCACGGCACAGCTCAGCACTGCAGTCACCCAAAAAGGTGCCGCCAGCACTTCTGTCATCTCCAGGGAGGGAGGGACCAGCCCCAGGCAGCAGGCACAGCTCCCCTCACAGCACCTGGCCGCACAGGGCACTGCGGGCACCGTCAAGCGAGCCTGTGTCTGCTGGGTCACATGGCACCTGACGGGGGCCAGGCTGGGCTGTCTTCATCGCCAGCAGCTTTCACAGGGAAGGGAGAAGGGCCCCACACTGTTCTCCTGGTCCTCAGGGCAGGGGTGTCCAAACTATGACCCTGGGGCTCAGAAGTCATTTTAAACACTTAATTCTGCAGATCAGGAGTTTTAACTGTGGCTGTGACCTTGCCCAGCGAGCGATTTACACACAGAAACGCCAGCCGGACACTCACCTCCGCAGGGGGGCGTTCTCCTCAATGTCTTCCAGCGTCTCCAGCGAGGACCTCTGGGAGAGGAGCCGGCGTCTGCGGAGAGAAGGGAGAAGCCTGGGCGTTAAAACTGCCTGTGAAAGGGACCGGGTGCTCTGTACGTCGAAAGCTGTTCTAAGAAAGAAAGTCCAATAAAGTCCAAAGAGATCAGACAGCAGCTTCTTTACGAGGCCGCGTCCCCCAGCCGCACCCTGAAGGCCGGGCCCAGCTTGCCGTCCATCCAGGGCTGCTTTGCGATTAGGGAAGGGACTGCTCCCTTTTATGCTGCAATTTTCCCCAAGGACCAAAAAAGACAAGGTGGCTCTTACAATGTGCACTCGGCACCGAGCGTCAGACAACGCTGCTGCGTGTTCGGACGTTAGTCGTCTGTACAGGCTGCCTGATGAGTATGACACTGCAAAACCCTGTTAAACACAGTCGCAATCCGGGTGCGACAACATCACTCGGAGCAATAAAGACGTGGTGGTCTCTGAGGGCCATGACTTCAAAAGCAGTTAGAGC